CACCTCACCTTTCCATAGTCCCACCTGGTCATCTGGTGGGGGTCACGAAGGCCAGGGCTAGAAGGGACACAGTGACTCCTTCACTGCACCCCACACCCCTAAGTCTGCCTTTGAGTCAGATTTGTGCACAAGTCAGAGTAGTTAGGTGTGGTTCGTGTCCCATGTCGGTCAGTCACATGCTTGTCTGGGTGTGGTACATGGTGCACCTTTTAGTATGCAAAGACATGAAGGCAACCCTTGCAGACACACAACTACACCTTTAACATAGTCACACAGCAACGAGAGGAAGGTTTTGATGCACACTGCAAAGCACTGCTCGTTATCACAAACCATTGTATGTGCCTTACGTGTTTAATATAACAGGTGTTACGGGTTGGTCCCCATGTTATGGGCTGTACGTAAATAGGATGTCGTAACCTGAGGGCCACCTGCACAGGCCCTAGAGTGGCACGCTGGGCCACAGGTAGTTTCATGTGTGTATTTGTTGCAAAGAATGGGATAGGGGTTGATAGAAACTTCCACATCTAAGAGTATTTACAGTCAGACACAGTTCTGGGCAAAGGTCAGTGACTACAATGAGCTTGAGAAAACGCACCGATGAAGACTCCTGGCTGCTGAAAGAGAGCCTGTCTGGTTTGTAAGGATGGTGGCTATAAACATCACTCTGGAATTTCACTTCTTGGATGCTTTTACAGGGACTAACAGTTTCATTCCACAGTATCAGTGTTTACGCCTGAAATTACATTCTGTGTGATTATTTGCTTTTTAAAAAAATCAGATGTCTACTTCAGAATATACACGTGGTTTGACAAATTTTCAAAATATTTAGGGTAGACAAGAGCCCTGAACAGACCTGGACAGGGTGAGCACCGACTACACCTGTAGGCAGGCCATGCCGAGACAAGAGCCAGCAGCCGGCAGGCAGGCTCAGCTGAGCCAGACACTGTCCGGAGGTGTCTGGTGCCCAGAGCTCTGCGGAGAGCAGTGGGAGAAAGCACCAGGTGTCCTGCCTAAGCACCTCCGGGAGCAGAGGGCCAGCAGGAGGCGAGAGCCAGGAGGGCAGGGAGGGCAGGGCGGCTGGGCCTTATGGAGGCAGAAGGGACTGTGCCAGGAGGGAGGGCCTGGAGAGATGAGAAGCCAGCGGTAAGAAGACTGTGCCTCCATCAAGCCTTGGACCAAAGACCTGCAGCCTGGAGCTCTCTGCAGGACACACACATCACCTGAGAGTCATCGGAAGAGTATCCGCTGGGGGTGTGGCCTGGAGAGGCGGGCTGGAGGTTGAGCTGGAAGGCCATCCCCCAGGCTTGGATGGGCCACGGCCTGCTCCTGGCGGACCCCGGCCTGTTCCTGATGGACTCCAGCCTGTTCATGGCAGACCCTGGCCTTGTTTGGGACAGCCACTGGCCTGTTTGTAGCAGGCCCTGGCCTATTCATGGCAGAGCCTGGCCCTGTTTGG